TAAGAATAACTTTGATGCGAAATATTCCCAGGAAGTATCTCGCAATTTTGTGTTATTTATTCATCACGTAATTGGAGTTAGCCTTTAATGCAAGCGCCCAAATTATTTTTGGACCAGCACCTGCTGGAAAAACAACACCAAACCTGCAAACTGCAGTGCAATGCCTGCATCATGGCGTTTAATCTAAGATGTGGTTGAAAGGGCTGGATCGCAACAGCCCCTGTAATCGTCTGATAGCCCCCATCACACACAGGTCTAATTGTCTGCATGAGAGAGGTCCAATTGATTGGGACCAGGGGACCCTCACAGTATAAACCATGCTTCGTAAAGAAATCGGCCTACACATGTGCACGTGCACATGCACGCACGCACACAATCACATCCACAAACACCTCCTACCCCCTCCTGTCACACCCCACTTTAGAAAATCAACCTCGTTGCCTTTTGCGCTTTACCATTCCCTCCTAGGGCCCTGATTGGCTCAAATGGCTCCACGGGAATCGATTTGCTCAACCCAATCGAAACCAAGTGAGAGAAGAAGAAGAAAGAAGAGAGCACGCATGGTGCACACACAAGCAACGATAAACCTGATTTTCACCTAGCTTTGTTATTTTTTGTGGTTGCATTTTGCAGATATTTCCATTCAGAGCACGCCTCACAACAGGACAGAGGCTCAAATGTTTGCCCACCCAAACAATGAGGGGATTTGGAGGAAGGAGAAAGTGTTATTGTTGGTGGAGTGGAGGGACACCATGGCTACTGGGTAACACACACATGATGAAGGACGCAGGGCGGAAAGCAAAACACACGGGCTGGTGAACAAACACACACACACACACACACACACACACACATATACAAGCCTCATAAGAGTACAAACTCCAATCTCTTTACTCTTTGTCTGCTTACACACACAAACATGCGCACACACAAACACACGTACACACACAGGCTGGTGCATGCTGCCAGTATTATCAGTGAGTGGGGATAAGTGTGTGTGTGTGTGTGTGTCATAGAGAGATGGAGGAGGTGGTCAGCAGACCAAAGCCATCCATCTAGGGGAGCCAATAGTGAACAGCAGAGGCTACAGGCTTCAGAGCACCGAAAGCACCCGCACGCACACACACACACACACACAGACACACACCCGCACACAGTGTGCTGCCCTTGTGAGGGTTACAGCTCTCAGGGTGTTAAGATGGGGGAGCCCACAAACATCAATCTTTACCCAGCAGCCTTGCTTGACCTACCCTCTGACACACACACGCACACACACACACACACACACACACACACACACACACACACCTCTTTCCACGGGCGACAAAACGCACACAAAGTTGCGCAAACTCAATCTCTCTCATCCTTCTTTTGTGCTCCTCTCTGTGAGCTTCTCTCCATCTTTCTCTCTCCCCTCTTCCTCACTCTCTCTCCATCTAATCCCCCCCCCCACGCCGTAGACACCTGCTACGGAATGCATCACACTAACTGATTGGCGCCTCTGAAAATGATAGCAATCACGAGGCAGCCGTCGAGCAGTGGACTAAAAAAAGGGCCATGACCATTGATTTTTTTCACTCGCATCTGCGTGAGTTATGGCGATGCATTGTGCACAGGAGCTCCTCTGACTGAGAGACAAAAGGAATCGGGGGCCGAAACTAGACCCTGAGATGTGGGCCAGTCAATAGTCTGCGCCAGCGAAATGAAAACTCTCACTATGGAGGCGCGATGCAGGGAAAGAGAGGGAGATAAGAGAAAGAGGAGAGGAATGTAATGGTGTGGAGAGCGTGCGCTATGGCATGTCCATCTGGTGTGTTTTTCAATGCTCACTGTGGGTTTCTAAATGGCTCCCGTTTAGTTTCAGGATTCCTAATCTCATGACATGAGAGAAATCCTGCCAAAAACTGCCTGTGGGTTGTTTGTTTCTTTGTTTAAACTGGGCGAGTCAAACAGCAAAGTCTCTGCCAAGGCTTTTCAGAACACTGCTGAGCGAAATGAGGCCGGACACAATTGGCTCTATTTGATGTATGAATGGGAGCATCACACTCACCAAACCTTCAAACCAGGTAATGGGGACCACAGGATAGGTTCGCATACTGTACATTGCAATAGTTTGTCCCTGTAATTAGTCCTCCTATTTATACTGGCCATCAATATACCCCATTCCCTAATGATAGTGATGGGGGACAGAATTAGACAAAGACAAATGAAGTAATTATCTACATTAGCCAGTCTTTTCAGTGTATATTTTTTTCTTTGTGTTACTGTCAGCTCAGTAAGGAAAAGCTGTCTTTAAAGGATACTAGGGTTGGGAATTATTAAGAATCTCACGATTCGATTCCGATTCTTGGTGTCACAATTTGATTGTCGATTGAATGAATTAAAAGGGGGCACTGTTTTCATTTACTCGTGTCCTTACGCCACTGACACTCTATACAAAATATAGTTGCAGTTAAGCTGAAGGGTCTTGATGAAGGCTATTGTCTGACAAACAGGAAAAAGCAGAGAAATGTGTGTGCCGGTAAACAGCTTCTTTTTATTTCAAAAAGGTATAAGAATAGTGAAATCCAACAGTAAAACAAGCAATCTCTGTCTGCTCATATGTATGTATGTATGTAATTATGTATGTATGTATGTATGTATGTATGTATGTATGTATGTGTGTGTGTGTGTGTGAGAGAGAGTATGTGTGTGTGTGTCCTTCGCATATCTCTAGGACCATTCATCCGATCTACCTCACACTTTGGTGGGTGTGTTGCTGGGGACCAAAGGACGTGCAGTGTCAGTTTGGACATGCGACACGTTGAATATTGATCAACTTTGAATAAAAGTGCTCTGTGCAGGGGGAGGGGGGCTCCAAAGACTAAATGGAGCATGTTGTCAGCTGCAGTTCACTTTAGCTGTTGGATGCTGGATATTCTAACGTTACAACTAAACTCTTTACTTCCCTGGACTCAACGAGCGATGACCGGTTCGTCGACAGCAGTGTCGGGGGGCCAGGCAATCTGCCTGCTCTAAACGGGCACTCGCTCTGAGTGGTCACCGCAATAGTGAAAGTGTAGTATTGAGCAACGTCGCCGGTAAAAACAGAGGTTTGTCTACATGTTCTGAAGTAAGGGGGAAAAGAAGTGGAGCACTCCCCCCTTGTCTGTCTGCCAACTTCAGGGGAAAACACCGTCTCTGCAGCAGTTCCAGCAGAGACATCCACAACTATCCACAACTTTGTGCAGGTCTGTGGCGGCTGCAAACTGGCCAAACCAGGCATAGGGAAGGTCCTGTTTCACTATTATTTGGGTTGTGATACGAGACATAAAGACACTTGTTTTGGCTGACTTTATTGGCTGACGAGATTGAGTGCACGCTATCAAGTAGTGTTAAGTTAAGGTTGATGAAAGTGTTAACTTTCCTGTCAGTGTTTTCCAGCCAACCATCCTTCTGGCAAACGAATGAGCAGCTGCATCACACCTCCCTAAATAGATTAGCCTGGACAATTGTTGGACTGTACCATTCTACAACAGCAAGAGGGGTGTTGTCAGGAGCCTTTACATCTGCACCACAGCGGAGGAATGTCTTCACACCCCTGCAATTAACTATGAACTGGCCAGCACAGTATATATCATGCAGTTAGGAGATGGAGAATTTAGTGTCCCTTGTTCAGAAGAGAACTCACTATGTTGTTTAAACTAAGTTCTGTTTAATTATGTTGTACTTAGATTTTAGTGTAATTATGTTAAGTTTATACAGTTATTCTGATTTGTCACTTTTGCTTGATTTTGTTACACATTCTAATTAGTGTACATACTTAGGGTGAATAAAATCCTCTTTTTTTTTTTTTTACTTTACCTGCTCTCCCAGCTTTATGCGTACCCTGGTCCCTCACAGGGTCATTTGATATGAAACAGACTAGTTATTTTTTTTCACCCAAACAGAGTTTCCTAAAAATTTTACAGAGTGTGTGTGTGTGTGTGTGTGTGTGTGTGTGTGTGTGTGTGGAAATACTAGGTGCATGCAACTCCACTATATAGTGAAGTCCCCTCTTTGACAGGTAGGCATCACTCAAAGATGCAAGTCCCCTCTTGGCAATTTCTTTAAAAAAAATTTAAAAGCACATTTGAAGTAATATACTGGTGAAGACCTTCAAAGTAAATTTTCTATTCCATTTTAGTGTTTTTAAAATGACCAGAAACACAAGTTCCCTCTTGGTTAGAGTAGCGTGACAGTGCGCTGTTGGTAAGGTACGCGTGTGTGCGTGCGCGTGTGTGTGCTGGCTCGTCTACTAGTGGTAGATTTTGGTGCTGCACTTTGCTAACATTAGACGGCGTACTAAATATTTCTAAAAATAACATCTGGTCCATTACAAGACAACGTTATTTTATAGAACATACATTTAAAATGTTTTTCTGTTTTCTAATACTGCTCTTGCCAACACAAGCAGACATGGCGACTTATTAAAGGGTAACAAGCAGAAAAGCTGGGAACCTCTGGTTCATGGTACAAAGATAACCAAGACATGATGTTCCATTGTATTTAAAGACCCTTATTGGTGTTTTTAGGGGGTTAGCGGTGTTGCTAAATATATGGATAAATATTTTCTTTTACATTTCATGAAGATTCATATGACAATAGATGGGAATAAGCACTGGGAGATAAAGACAAACACTGTAATATTTGTTTTAAAACAAATAACGGGCGACTAAGTGGAACGGGCGACTAAGTGGATAGCAGGGCCGTCCTTCAATCAGAGGGTCGGCGGTTCAATCCCCGGCTCCGGCTCTGCTAGTCGCATGTCGATGTGCCCTTGAGCAAGACACTTAACCCCAAAATTGCTCCCGTAGTTGTGCCTACAGTGTAGAAATGTGATAGAATCTGAATTGTAAGTCGCTTTGGATAAAAGCGTCTGCTAAATACCTCAACATAAATATGCATGTATGCACAGGAAGACAATTGTTGCGCTTGCATCACTTGTACTGGGAGTGTGGCTGTTCCCCAGCAACACCTACCAGGCAGCGTTGCTGTGGGCGCTGTCGTCCAGGTGACAGAGCAACTCCAGGGTTTGGGGGTTGTGGGCGGAGTCGTCAGGTGACTCAGGGCTTCCTGTCTCCCAATCACAGGGCATCCGCCACACTGCTCCGCAGGACACCACTCTGCTGTCACTGGCTGGGGGGGGGGGAGGACAACACACAGTCATTCACAGTTTGTTAGAGTACTGTGTATGTGTGTGGTGGACAGGCGCCAATACGGTGACGTGGACACACTTTCCCCCAAAATACACATCACAAATGAGTTATTTTGGCACATCTACACCAGCACTGCTAATTGGAACCAGTGGAGTAAATGTAGAATTGATACAGGACTAAAAGTTTGAGGCTGGAGGGTATAACCAATCACAGAGAGAGAGGAGAGAGAGACACACAGAGACAGAGAGGGCAGGAAGAGAGCGAGCAAAGAGCCTAATTTCTTTTTGGTGTAGATATTGACAGTGTGTGGGCAGGCGTCGGGCTATGAAACACTGGCGTTGGGCCTATTTCTCAAATTAAAAAGCAACGTGGTGCGAGTCCATGGGCTCTTGAGTGGTTTCAGACAACCGCGCACTTGGAGTAAGTGGGCAAGCAATCATCTTGAACAAAAGCCTTTGCTTGCTCACATACTGGAGTGCCAGTGGGAGGCAGTATGGAATACGAACACGCTTGTGTGTGTGTTTATGCGTATACATGTTGTTCCATGTGCGAGTGTGTGGTGTGCGCAGCAGTGCATGGTGGGCCTTCTGAGCTTCAGCCCGGTCCAGAGTGGCTCGAGCATGGAGAGCTTAGCTGACAGAGCTCGAGAGACAGCGGGGGAGATGAGAGGGAGCAAGGGAAAAAGTTGCTGGGGGGGTATGGTATCTACCCCAGTGCACTCTGCTCCTATATGTATGACGCAATCTCAGACACTGGGAAAAATGTTGCCACTGGCAAGATCTGAAACTCTAATTGGAATTGACACTTGGTGGTTGAAAATACAACTTTCGGCCCTAATTGACTCTTCTGCAATCTGATTGAGCAGTGAAAACAGGTTGAAAAGATAAAGACAGAAGCTAAAGCTACAGATCACAGTGTGAAGGTGAACCACCTCATCACCTGGAGATCCAGACAGAAGACAATGAAATGAAGGAACAACACTGTTCCTCTTTATTCCCTCCTACAATCATTAAATACATTCAGTACCGACTGTAGCTAGCATCGCATAGACGTGCCGACACAAGTTTATAATGTGCTAACGTACTCTGCTAATGTTAGCTCCAGAGGTTTTTACATAGAGACGTAATGTTTGAGGTCTGGGTAACAAGTATCACTATTACACAAGGTTTAACCATGACAAGCTCCAATTCCACTTAACTGAACATGAAGAAAATAGTAAACCATTGCACGAGAGTCTATGGAGCAGTGCTGGAATAAAACATGACCATGTATCAAAATGTGAATGTAAGGACGACATGTCTCAACTAAACTGTTCCTTTGGCCACGACCAGTTTTTTTTACACACCGATTGTGTGTAAATGAAGCACTGAAGTCTCCGTGAAGTTATGCAAGTAGAAGGCCGCATTCCATTAATGCACGGATGATGTGCATGCAACCTTCAAAGATTTTCTCCTGCCTGACGGTGACTTTGCAACCGCTGCCCTTGTCCCTCATGTGGGTCATCATGTCCACACATTAGTATTGATTATATCGGCGTCCAAACATGACTTCTAAATTGCTGCCGTCGGTTATCGATCACCTGTTGAAGACAGATTACACGTTATGATTCTCAACTAAACTGCATGAGGTCGTTACATGAGGAGAGAAACAGGAAGAGCAAAAGAAAAGGAAGATGAAGTTAAAGACGGGAAAACAAAAAAGAAAGAAGAGAGAGAGAGAGAGAGAGAGAGAGAGAGGATACACATCTCAGAGGCAGTGAATGGAGCCAGAGACAGAAGGAAACAGTAGGACTCACTTTTGTTATAGCAGGTGGTAAGCACAGCCTTATCTGCAGGACTGGCGCCAATGTGCCATATCTCCCCAGCTTGGTGCAGGAGGACATTCTTATTAATGATGTTATTCTCGTCATCAAAGTCAATGATGTGGATCTGGAGGCAAAGCAGAGACCAACAGGAGATGTGTTGAGGATGAAGCTACGGTTAAAACACACACACACACACACACACACACACACACACACACACACACACA